TAATGAACAAATTATAAAAAAGCATTTCCTCTAAGTTAATAATGCAATAGAAATGTAAAAATATTCGTGGTTTGGCTTTTTTAATGGGCGGACGTTTTGCATCAACATATTTGTAACATTTTATATCTTCCTCTAGTTTTACGATGTGTGACACGATTCGATCGATCTGGTTTATGTTTCCTTTGGCTCATATAAAAATATTTTAAAAGAATATGAAAAGTTTTATTATGGGTCCAGGAATCTGTCTTCATAGACAGATAGATTCAATAAAGACATTCAAATTCAAAATGATAGAACACCAAAAATCAGTAAAAAGCTTTTACAACTTTAAGATAGAGATATATATGGAATATATCTATATCAGAGAAATGTGGAATAACATTATAGAAAAGAATCCAATCGACTTCCGCACCTACTTCCTACCTATGCTTGAGATATAATTGTGACATCTTCAAAGCTCCATGTCCTAGTAGTTTTACCTTCTAAATTTCTAACTTATATAGGTACAAGTTAGATGGTAGCGGCATTTTTCCGGACCGGTGGCAAATAAATCGTCAGAAATTCTAGACAATAAAATTTACAACTGGACGTAGTAACACTAAGTTCAGTACTTGTGTCTGCAGCAATAACACTGAAGAAGAACTTTCAAAAGAATTTGTTATTGTCACGGTTTCTGTGATTGCAAGAGAAATTAGAAAGGAACAACTGATTACAAATGGCGAGCAAGGGGCAATGCCATATATTCTTTGCTTGAGGACAGGTAATGCTATTTTTTCGTCCAGATGGTCGACACACGTTTCTTAGTGCGCTTACAGGTTTGGCAAGTATCGGTTGCCACAAAAAGCGGTATTAACGGGACAGACAAATATGGAAGGATTTAATAACATTACAGTACGGTAGCGGATTTTCAACTGAAGTTCAATGACGTTTACACTAATACATGTGATATACATACAATTGTCAAACAAGAACCGTTATACCCACAGACCTAGGTGACTTATAGAAATGTCAGTTTTAAACATTTTGCGCTATTCTGTGGTTCAAAGATAAGTAAAGGTTTATAATATGTTCCTCAAATGAAACAATATACGACTCTTATTCATAAACAATACACCGCAGCCCTTGTTATGTTATGTTCCCTTCACTCTCGTGTTTTGAAAATAAAGCCACGTGACAAAACATTCTATACTATTTCAGGTAATATGAATTATAACGACAAACGTTAAAAGTAATAAAAAGTGTATAATTTGGTCTATGTAAGCAGAAGAAAATATAAAAGTAAAAACTAGTAGAACTTGTACTATACTAAATATGTCCCAGTACACAGAGCAAGTCTATGCAATGCGGAATTGATATCTACATTCGCTATGCAACGATTCTATTATGGTAATACTCTATCTAATACCGCTTAAACGTCTTTGTCGGTTATGCACATGGTATAACGCGGAGGAATGGTGTACATGCCAAATTGAACGAAATGGTTAAGAGAGTTAACGTTGAAATCAGTAGACCTTTTCTATTTACTAGGTAACAGACAGATACATCACTATAGTAGAAACTAAAAAAGGCAAATAAAATACAAAGTAAGAATATTGGATGGAAAACAATTAGTAAAATAGTTTCACAGAAACAAATAGAATAATTCTAAAAGCAGACAGTACGATAAGTAAACACTAAAATATTTAAGACACATAAAAGGACAATGACAAGAAGATTTAGTTTCAAGGTTTAAAAAACAACAGGCATTGAAATATTTATCGTAATATACACATATCTTTTTAAATCTAAAAATTCAGCGGTAAACTAAAGAATCATTAGTTATGAATGGTAACGTTATACCATAAATCATACGTTATTGTGATACATGCATACCATATAATGCATTAAAACGAATGTAAATCATAAAAGCAGATAAAACTATCGTAGAGCATCACACGAAGATATGAGCACAAACAAGTCATTAAGACAAAATTAGAGTGGCCTATATAATGCGATCTGGGGAAGAAAATTTACTAGGAACTGTACAAAAATCTATTTTAGATTAGAAATAAAGTCCAAGTTTTGTAAACTAAACAAATAAGGATGCGTGAGGATTTGGCATGTTAGCATATAGGATAAAAGTAAAAATAAAATAAAGGAAACTTAAGCAAACAGCTGTCTCGTACAGCAAATTTGTGAAATAATCATAAAAAAATAACCATGCTTTATATATTTGGTTGTTCTTCAACTTCTGTCTATGGTCAACTGTTTCTAATATTAATAGAGAGTTTAAAATTGTTCCTCTGATTCGGCACGATCATTTCCTTCACCGTACGAGCGAGTATTGTATGTGTAACTGGTTCAACAAAATTTCAAATTTGAATACGTGAAACTAGAATATATAAACATTTTATAACCAAGCGTTAAAGCAAACACTGAAGCCATTGTTTCGACAATTTGCGTTCAGTATGTTCTATTTCTAGTTTTGTTGAAATCTGGTACCGTAACAACATGGCGTTTGTTACGAAAAAGTGCCAAAAAAATTAATCATCTTTTCAAATATAGAATCTATAAAGATTTGCTATATTGTATCAAATATATAAATCGTTTTTGATGTGTTTTCTAGAAACATACATTTATAGTATTCAACACAGCGTAAAAATCATGTTAGATTATTGAGGTTTTTTTAACTTTAATCCTACTGCAATCTAGTCTGATTGGGTTCTGTCTCCAGGTCTAGTCTATTAGGGCTACTAAAAAGATTTTTTTACGTAAAAGTACTTTAGTTAATTTACATAGTGTCCTTAAAGATTTGTCTAGTTGTCTTGTGAACCTAGCATTTATGTTCACTGTGAACAACAGAAACATACTGGAAAGTTACGTAGAGAAATTAGCAGTTGTTTAACGTTACTCTCCCTAGTAAGAACACTGACCTGAACCTATACGCTGACTACATAAATTTTCTTAACTATGAGCATTTTAATGAGTTCATGAAATCTATGTTACATAGTAAATGCTTAAATGTCAAATTCTCAGAACTGAATAGTTTCCATCACGTCAACATCTGATCTCATACTTCGGTGTCTTTGATCAATAATCAATATAATTTACCATTCAATTTATCATAAGATTAATGTATTTATTGTTCTCCGCAATTATATTGTTTGTTCTAAGAATTATTAAGAAAAATTATGAATAGAAGAAAATCATATGTTACGACTTAAAGATTCTAGTAAAATATTTTACGTATCAAAACGAGTATAACCTCAATTTTAAGATTTAATTGACAGTCCCATGCTGATGAATAAAATATGAACATGTTGCTTCACACATAAAGAAATAGAGGGATAAAAAGCTTTTAAATTGTATTCAGGCCTTATATGGAAGCTGATCGTGGATGGCGCCTACAATCGCTCACTAACAAGTAACGAAGCACGTATTGAATGTAGATAATATAAGTGTAACTAAAAAACCGATGCCAAAAGTACTCCAAGGCTGAGAAAAAGTTTTTGACTACATAATAATTATTCTCTATATGACAAAGGCCTCCCCCAACGATATACCAATTTCCCCGTAATAGACTATCTAAAGTTTGTAATTCTTTTTTGGGAAAAGGGATACTCTTTTTTAATAAAATCCCAGAGGCTCTTTTATCACTGCCTTTTAGTAAATTTAAGAAATGTATTAAATAAAAGCTGTGTAAAAAGGCTTACTATAAAGTTAACGATTATCTAGTTGATAAAAGGGCCTGGGACTAGTGCTAGACAGGCTACTTCTAATTAATTAGCGATATTTCATTTAAAATAAGTGTTGTTCGATGATTTGCTATTTTAAAAGAGTACCGAGAGTTTTTTACGCCGGCTTTTTCACTCGGCCTACACCCGCTGTCTTCTTTGCCGATGAGTAGGGATGTCTACCTATTCAAATTTAATGACGTGTAATTAGTGATTCCTGTATCTTATGTTCCATAATAAACATATATTTTTTTATTTAAGTTAAACAAATATATGATCAAAATAGTTAAAAGATTTTAACATTTTTCTTTTATCACCAGAAATGTCTGGCATAACGCATCCCAAAAATAACAGGGTCAGTGACTTGCCCATCTTTAAAACAGATTGCGTCTATTATAAGAGTATGAATGTGAAAGATGAATGCTACTGTTAAATGTATTATGTTGATTCAATTATGTTTACTACATGAAGTGTTACCAAATTATTGACGCCTTTTGATTAAATCGAGTTTTAACATTTCATTGTTTATTTTTTACATTGATAAATATTGCATCAAAATTAACATAGATCAAAGCTTCCGAAATGAGCATAAACTATATTACTCTGTAATAATTAACAAATATGTTTTCAATTATTTTTATAGGTCATAATAAACAATCATTGCCGCTTTCACCAACGCTATTTTTACGTAGACAGATTATATCTGTAAACGTATTACCGGCATCCAAAGACAAATGAACAAGAAACTAGAATTTATCTTTTTCCGATAACAGTTTTGTTGGTGTAAAATTGTAAACTTTATTACGAACCTAATCGTACCACGAGATCGCCCTGACATAAGTCACCAAATGTAGCAAGCTGCCAACCTTGTCTTTCTATTTATACGAATTAGTCCCTACATGCAATAAAACTCACAACCTGCGACACTTATCTTGATTGACGTTGAGAGAAAACCCTTTTAAATGGTTAGAATTGCGTCTGCGCTAGATAGTTTTACTGGGAGTAACGTGATGTAACTGACAAGTTTTATTTGGTTTGTTTCTCTTTGCTATTGTAATTTTCATTACAAGGCTCGGTTCATTCATTAAATCTATTCGTATTTAATTTCTTAATTCTTAACATGATTCTTCCGTGTTATTACGTGTGTCATTATAAAGTGTAATCATTATTTTATTGGTATCTACGTGTAATTATTCGCAATGATTATTGTGTATAGCTTTATTAGATGTAATTTTGTAATGTAAGATTTTTCAACATGAAAATGAAAAATTATGGAAAACTACTTACATCTGGGTGTTCCTTGACCGGCACATATACTTTTTCAGTCAGTGTGGTGAGCATGCCCTCTGCCTCTGGCAGAATGAGGGGCTCTTTCTTCACCCCATTTATTTGGAAAAGACTCGCGCGGACTTTTGCGATTTCTGAAAAGTAAAATTAGTGTATTAGTAATGGAAGTGTTATGACATTTGGACGATAATAAAATCATATTAGTGACTATAATTCAAGACGCCTTAACATTTACTGGAAATGATAAAATTTAATGGAGCATTGAAAATTTGCATTTACGAGAAGTCTATTACGAGTCCAGGAAAACTGGTAATTATCCGCAACAAACACGACACAAAACAGGGCATTAGTAGGTCAGAGATTAGAAAGAATTATTGACAGGTCAACAATGACGTCATTTATAACATTGCAGCTGTGTATATTAAAGACGAAATTGAAGATATCGTAATGATTTATGAAACCGCGATAAAACTCATTTTAATACTAATTGAATTCAGAAATTCTATAGAAATAATGAAAAACAATATATAAAGGGGCCTCTACATGGGCTACACTTTTACTTGGCTAGATCATTGCCAACTATATCCCGAAAATAAAAATAAAACATAACAACAATGTATATCTCGGCAATATTTCTGCAACAGTATATGGCTCATTATTTAGTCTTTACACGGTCTACATACATAGCTTGGCTAGTAGACGAACTCATACGCGTTGCAGCAGCGTTTTAGAAGCAAAGGCAAAACAAAAAAAACTAAGCAAAATGTGGATGCGACCTTATTTCAATAGGCGTGATACATTAGATAGTTTAAGTCTGGAAATTAAAATAAAAAAGGCGAAGTGAAAAAGGGACTTACTTAGGCCCTAAAGCGAGATAGCAATAATATAGCTGCGAAATATTGCAGTATTTTCGATTGCAAAGCGATCGTTCCGGCTGGGACACTAAACATTGAACCGACATACAAAAAATAATTGGCAATATACCCCTGCCATAATATTGCCGAGTATTGCATAGTCTAGCCGTAAATGCTAGCTGATTCTAACAGCCACACCCTTGCAGCTACAAATTTTCGTGAAAATTTGACCCGTCTAGGAGCCCCTTTAGGTATTTGTTCAATAAGTAGTGAGTCATATAATATCCGGGATACAATTCTCCGACCATCTGTTTTTGCAGCATCTCATGCATTAAAAGTATGTCAGGTCACACAAGTGCCGCATGGTACAAAGGCATTTAATCTACACGTAGATGAATCTCGACTACGATTCTAATGTGTCTTAATTAAAATGGAGCGCATAAATACTTCAGAATTAATGTTCTATGTGACGCATAATTAGTTGCAGAATGAAATCGAATGTTTTTGTATCAGGTACGTCTGTGGCCATACTGGGTCCATCGGGGTCTGGCGACAACGTGGCTTTCACACCATATAGGGACGTGAAGAGCGTAAACAAGCCATTAACCCGCCACGGGGCTCGTTTGATCAGTGGATTATGTATTTAATTACGTACGTGCGAACATTGATCGCACTTTTTAAATATATACTCACATTTTATTAAGATTACTTAAGATTAACAATTTTTTATTGTACAAATTAGATAGCGCAGTAGCGTAGTAGGTAAAATACTGCACTTTTAAAGTAATATTTTTTTGTATGTGTGAGACATTGCACGGTTTTGACAAAAGTACTCTCCGTCTCGTTTCATTACGGGGTAAGCATAATTTGACGGAAAGAGAAAGACTTTGGCTAAAGAGTTCAATTAGACTTAATTTAGTGTTTATGAATGAGGGCGATAGAGTCAGAATATAACTGTACTAAAGAGAAAAAACAGCGGGGATAAGAATATGGATTTTTTTATGTCACAGATGGCAAACGGGCAGGAGGCTCATCTGATGTTAATGAACCTATGAACTCTCACATTGCCAGAAGGCTCGCAATTGCGTTGCCGGCCTTATGGAATAACATGACGTCGTTACAAATATGCCCTAACTTGAAGTCAAAGTATCTGACAAAGACCTTATATTGACGTAGATCTTGAAGTTCCGTCCATCATCTATGATTAATGAATACAAATTTATAAATGAATTCATAAAATATGGTCGTGTCACTAATGTTGCATATTGTTTTGTACCTTCGACTATAGGCGAAATATAATTTATCACTTGTTGACAGATCCGTCACAATTTGACAATAGCTGTCAAGATACTAGATCATAAGTTCATAACTCTCAAAGTGATTGGTTAGATTTTTTCAAGCGAGTCTTCGCGTTTTCAGCTATTTAAAATTTACATTACAACATTAGCACGAATAAGACGTAAAATATTTAACGTGATAGAATAGTACATTTATATATATTTTTTTTTTATTGGACAAATCACACCAATTGACCTAGTCCCATGCTAAGCTGGTGAAGCTTGTGTTGTGGGTACGGCAACGGATATACACACATATTATAGATAGATAGACATATAACTACATATTTAAACACCCAAGACCTAAGCACAACACCAAATGCTCATCACATCGATGTTTGTCTCAGCCGGGGATCGAACCCGGGACCCATGGATTCGCAGTCAGGGGTACTAACCACTAGACCAATGAGCCGTCATATACATCTTTGTTTTTCTAAACAAAAATTTAGGAGTACATAGGCGTATTTGATCCTTAAAAGAATACATCATTCCAACATGCTTATACATAGTAAACTATACTATATACAATATCGAATGGAAAAATTTCTTAAACTCTTGACCTAAATCTTTACAAAACCGGGCACGATAGTGTTTCCTTTTCGTTCAATTTTACCTCATCTGAATATTGAGAGAATAACATCGAATTTGGTCTTCTCGGGTGACTTCTTTAGGTGACGTCATCAGGGTCTTTGTAAAGCCATTTATTAACTATTGTATTAGTCATAGGTTTTAAGAATTATTTTGAGTCGCATACTGTTAGAGAATTCAAAGCCTGTAACCGCAGAGTAAAATTACAGCTCAGAATATAATACTTTGTACTAAAGTAGATTAACCGCAGTAGATTCGATGCTTGTAATTCTATTCTACTTTTATTTAACGATTCGATGTATCAAGGTTGTTCATATCAGTTTACGTAAGATTTCATTTCATATTGGGTCCAAATCCAAAACATCTAATTAATCGTAATCCCATGTCCAAGATCATTGTAGACACACTTTCAACTTTCAAGCCAGTTTGAATCGTTAGTTTTGTGTTTCCAATTGAAATTCATTACTAATTATTTTTTCATCTTATATCTTAATATGAAAAATATTGCGGGATAATAATATACATACAAAAATTTGGTATCGGCCGTTTTTTAAAACAAAATGCTCCTAGCTGCCTCGTCTGACGTGATTTTTTTCCTTATATGCCTTAATAAATTACCAATAAAATCTCTTTATGGTAAAAGTTTTGTCTATTGTTGAATCAACATTGCAACACTAGTGAAATTTTTTTTTGACATAAGACCAACTAAGGAAGTTATCTAAAATGCCATCATAGAAAAGTTTTAAATAGGTGGAGGTAATTGGGACAAATATAATATAATACTAGCGCCCCGCCCCGGCTTCGCACGGATGCAATGCTGATACTAAATTCAAAGTGCTATAGAGTATAGGGAGAACCGCGGCCTCCAACGGGCTGCTTTCCGCAATTTTAATAATTTTTAATTTTAAACCTGAGGAAGGTTTATATGTTAATCACTCTGTCTACTAAAAAAACCGCATCAAAATCCGTTGCGTAGTTTAAAAGATTGAAGCATACATAGGGAGAGAAGAAGCGACTTTGTTTTATACTATGTAGTGATAATAAATTCCTAATAAATGACCCGGTGCTTACATACATTAAAAGTCGCTGGTTTGCAAGTTTTAAAGAAAAAATTACTGCTGAAATTTTCTACTATGAATACCATAGTCATTTCATGACATTGCATATTATGTATGGTTTATTTTACTGTTCAAAAGCTTACGAAATCCGGAAATGAGATTATCCACATCAAAGTCTTTAGATAAACATTTTAAACTTTTTTGACACATTACGAAATCACGTCATGCGTTTAAAATAAATCTGTAATCAATGTGTATGACTCAGTAACGAAACATCTTAGTAATTAAAATCATATACTTTTGAAACATTAAACTTTATTAATCTAATTCTATTCCCCTGCCATTTTGTTTAGGGTTTTTTTCCATCTCTTATATTGTTATTAAAAATGTACATAAAATAAAATCATACTTAGAGTTGCGCGGCTCGCGAGATACGCCCGGCTATATCGGTATTATTTTTTACAATATACCCGGCAACAGCCTCCTTCACATATTTAATAATTTTGTCGCAGAAACGTTCCAGGCACGGTCTGGGCTTTGTTAACATGGCCTATAGGCCGTTGCGGTCTACGGTCATCTGTGTTCAACGAATCCTGATATTCAATAGGTTTGAAATGCCATATGTTCGAACCCCGGCCCATGGATGGATTTTTCTCTATTAGCATTTGCTTGTACGGTAGACTTTGAGAGAGAACCGGCATGGATTTAACCGAAAATTAAGGACGCGCAAGCACTGAAGGCAGATGATCTGCCTATAAAGAATATTGGTAAATGCAACATGCATATGTACTGTATCAACTATACTCCCTTTACTCAGAATATGCAATTGTTTGCAAGTTCTTTTAGTAGGAAAAGAAGCCTTCAACTTCACGGAATCCAACGATTTGCTAATTTTTTTCAATAAAATGTGCCGAGATCCCGCAAGTCTGGCCACGTCTATAATTAAACATTGTTTTAAAACAAATGAATCACTTAACGCGTAACTCATAAATCAATACATCTCAGTCTCAGAATCACTTTCAATTTTGCCGCTGCTTTGCGGAACATTTATATAATCAAGAAACTAAGAAAGAAATATGTCTGACACAAGCGTTTCTAGCTTGAAGGTTCAGTGCACAGAATACATAAGCGGTTGGAAAGGTTTTAGGTGAAATTTTATTCCAGAAACTTTGACCCCCATCTATTTCATATATGCGCAAATTCCAAGAAATATGTTGTTCATGCAGCATGTATAATGCTTTGCACGCTTGCTATGGATGTTTGATTCCTCCATCCGTTGTTGCACAGGGCTCATACCAGTACCTTGTCTAGGAAATGAGATTCAGTTGCGAGTGTAAAATTATTTCTACACAATTAAAGAAATTGACATTTTTTATTTTAGCATGCTTATACACATTGATATTAACTATTTAATTCACGTCCATTGGTTGGAGTTCAGTAGACATGTGAGTTACAAGAGGCTTATGATAGCTAAAGTATGATACAAAAATTCTTGTAGAAACAATGTCTAAATATCGTACAAATACAGCATCAATAGTATAAAAAAAAACTAAAATGTTGACTATAGCTAACTTCAGGGTGTCGGTTTTTTGTGATGGTTAGCGCGTACATCGTAAAAGTTACTCTCATATTTTTTTCCTAACGCGCCAAAAGAAGTATAACTTCAATAACTTTGGTCGGTTTTTTTGTAATATTCTCTTGCAAATTTTATTATTGGACTGGATTATTCCGAATATTTGAACATCTTTTTCTTTCAACAGTCACACGTCGTCAATTATTATTGGGCCGCTCTCTGTAAGATGGCTATCTTCATCGTACTAGGAAGTTTTAAGTGCGCATGTAGAACGATCCATTGGTTCACTATCAAGGCTTGAGGGCTCGATCTCAGAGTAGCCATGCTTTACCAATAGACCGTAATATTAGCTTGTTAATATTACAGACAAGAAAACGGTTTCATGTTACACGGTTCCTTTAAAAGAAAGTTCATGTACATAGATTCGAAACAATACAAATGAGGAAAGAAATGAGAACAATAAGTAATGAGCGGAGTTTCACACGTGAAGTAACGAAGCGTAAAAGTCTACGGCCAGTTTGCGTGAACCTCCATCACGCAAGATTCATTGACGGATATACTAATGAAAGCAAAAGCATATCTCATTATAATATATTTCTTAGTGACTTTAATTAATATTTTGCACAGGTGAATGAATAAGCAAAATTATTACACTATTTACATATATTAATCAGAGTTTCCAGTGCTATACAGCAGTCATGGTCAGCAAAAAAGTATACGGATATTAACGCCATCTACAAGCATTATTTTTTTAACTGACGTTCATTAAATTAACATACTTATATTTTTTGGATTTTTGATGGTTTTTTTGGTATTTTATAGAATCGAGGGGCAAATGAGCCTACAGGACACCCAAAACGGGCATCGTAGCCCTTAGAGACCCATTTTAGTGGGTGCGTTGCCGCCCTTTGAGGTAGGAGTATACTTCTCTTTAAACAATTGGAGGTCGTATTTCCAAGGGAAGATGGAGGACCAGGAGTCGATTACACAGTTAGTTAGTTCGCAATAGAAATTGTCGAAGTTTTGTTAGCAATTTTAAACATAAAACTACTGAACTACGGAAGCGATTAAATTTTATGTAAATACAATTTCGTATATCAATTTCGCTT